GCAAAACCCCCCTGGATTGTATTGATTGCAAGGACTGACTGTTTCGTGGGGGATTTTCCTTGACCAGTCCTCGGAGACCGGAAAACCATCCGCCAGATTGCAGACGAGTTCGCCCAGGTCTATGGCCGGAAGCCCCGGCTGGTCCGCCTCGGCTCCAAAGATCAGCTGTACCAGAAGATGCATGCCATTTACGACCAGGATCCCTCGAATATCTACGCTTACTTGGCTCTGTACGTCCTGTCCTCCTTTACCCCCCTCGCTTTCCTCATTGTTTCTGTTCTCAATACTGCGCGGTCTTAGTGAATCAAAGGCTAATTTCCCATCCCTTCACGGGCGGGAACCAAAAAAACAGCTTCTATCAGTACTATTGCACCAATGGACAAACATACCTCAAGCCAGAGCTAGATAATTCCAGGTACCCGAGCGTGAAGCCGATGACTTTCAGGCAGTTCCTGCAGTCGCACAGCATCGACTCGTTGAGCGACTCGTACCAGAACGCTGGGTCGGATGCCTAAACGCAGAGCCGCGGATGTGGACTGGTCTGGAATCCAGAAGGTACAGTCCCATGCTATACGGTGTAAATATCTAGTGATGATCCCTTTTGAATATGATACTGTGCGGATGATGGTGCAGCATTAGTGTGTGGATTAGCAGGAAGGATATTCAACTTCGGGCGCAATACCGTTGGTCCTGTTCTCTAATCCTCTGCTGTCGACATAAGCGTGTTGGATCTCTACTACCCCACATACAGCACACACCATTGGGAACTTATAGTCTGAACTATAGGCGAAGATGGCAAGAATGTCATAATCCTTTAAGTGAGATCTGGTATGGTTGAAGTATCACCGGCAGAAATGGTCACTGTGCAGAGAACTACGTATCTGTGGACCTTCAAGCAGCAATACCGAATTCTTGAATTCCTCCACTTGACATTTTCGAAACAAAAAATGCTACAAGACTGACAGGGGAACAGTAGCCCCGAGCTAGTCCTGCACCCCCCGAATGAGGTTCTTGATCCCCTCACCCCTGCGCGTCCTCTCCCACGCCTCAGGCGCCTCCTCAAACGGCAGGGTACTACTAATCAACGGCGCCACACTAATCTTCCCCTCCGCGAGCAAGTCCAACGCAATCTCATAGTCACGAGGCGCATAACGAAACGCCGTCTTGAAGACCGTCTCCTTGGCGAACATATCCAGCAACGGCAGCGCCTGCAGGGGCTTCCCCATGCCGACCTGCACCAACACCCCCCCCGCCCCGAGGGCATAGAGCCCCGTCTGCATCGCCGTCTCCACCCCGGCACACTCGACCACCACATCCACCCCTCGACTAGTATCCAAGCCCATCTCCCCCCTAAACCGCGCAGCCACCGCCTCCGCACTCTCGGCATTATCCGGCCGCATCACCGTGACACCCGACATTGACGACAAGAACCCCCGCGCAAACTCCACCTTCGCCTCACTCACATCACTCACCCCGACCCGGGTAGCCCCATACGCCTTTGCAACAGCCGCAACCAACAGCCCAATCGTCCCGGCCCCCTGCACCAACACCTTCAGCGCAGGCCGCACCTCCGCCAGCCGGACCGCATGCACCGCCACCGCCAACGGCTCGACCAGCACCGCCTCCTGCAGACTCAGCGCATCGGGGATTCGGTACACAAAGTCCGCCGGCATCCGGAACACCCGACACAGGGTCCCGTGCGCGTCCGGCGGGGCGGCCGCGAACTTCATGGCCGGGCAGAGGTTGTACTGCCCCGTCTTGCAGGGCCCGCAGCGCCGGCACGGGTAGCCGGGTTCGATGGCGACGCGGTCCCCCGGCTGGAGGTCGGTGACTGCGCCGCCGACGGCGTGGATCGTGCCGGAGGCTTCGTGGCCCATGACCAGGGGCTTTTCCGGGGTCACTTTGGTGAGGATGCCGCCGTGGGTCCAGAAGTGGACCTTTCGAAGGTTAGCTTTCTCTGGATGATGTGGGGCGAAGGGAGGGGGGCTAGGACTGGGCTAGGGGTGGGTGGGTGGGTGCTAACATCGCTACCGCAGACGCCCACGTACGCGATTCGGATCAATACATCGTGGGGGTCTTCGATTTGGGGGATGGGTCGGTCTTCAAACCGGACTCTTCCGGCGCCGTAGAGGACGCATGATAGGTTCTGGTGGGTTGGTTAGGTATGGTTGAGCCAATGCCAAATGGAGAGATCGCGGTTAGGGGTGATGGTGCGGGGGAGGCTGCAGTGCGTGTGGAAGCTTACAGTTTCTGTCATTTTGTTGTTCGGCCTGTCAGTCGGCTTCTTTGCAGAGATTCATTTGGGAAAGTATGGGCTTTATATTGAAGGAGCTTATCCCGTCGGAGTAATGTGGGCTGACTCTCTGGTTGCTGATTGCTTATTGCTGATTTCCCCTCCTTTGCGCGGTCATGTGCTGGGGCTGGGTTCCCCTCACTTGGCGTCTACATCCTTGATAATAGTGGGGATGCCGCCGGGGTGGGTGATACACAGTCAATTTCAGACGGATTTGCAGAGATAGCATTACTCCCCGCATCGTTTATCCAGACAGTGGCCAGCAGCAAGTACCTGGACTTCTCGAGTGGTTTCTCTTCAACTAACCATGTCCATATCCATTCAATCCCTCTCACTACTTCGTCAGGTCGATGCCAAACAATGAGAGAAACATATAAGTATTCGCAAGACAATCTACTACAGCGATGCTCGCGAAGCCTCATTACCGCCCAGGCCCGGTCCCAGCAGATCGAATGCGGAATCATGCGACTGGCAGTCAAGCTATCTGCATTGATTAAGACCGCTGCATGTGGTTGACCAAGCGAACCTCGCTGAACTGTGGCGACCGGCTCAAAGGCTTTTCGCTTGGTGTTCGAATTGTGAATGGAAATCAGACCCTCGGACAACGCCGGCCAGCGCCCGGCTCCGTGGCTTCGCGACTCGCACATTACACTGCAGGAGTTGCGACAACTTCTTAGGGTCAGGAGGGAGAAGCCGTGGGTAGCATTCCTACTGCGTGGCTCCACAAATTAGTGTAGCTAGCATCATGGACAGTCTGCTCAGGCAGGTCCTTGCATCTGCTCGGGACGATGAGGATCTGCTGGAGGACGTCCAATCAGACTGGGGTTCAAATCGGGGTTGAGAGCAATGAAAGCGCTCAAAAGCACTGTGCCCACAGTCAAGCTCGTGCTCAATCTGCGACCGTTGTGGTTCGGCGTCATCGATCTTCTCGCTGAGTAGCGCATCTGATGAACCATGTGCGTTGCTACGCTGGTCGATTTTTTAGGTGCAGCAACATCATGTCGCGGGGAGCATATGTGTTAAACGTTGCTCCTTACCATGTCAGTTCGGACCACAGAGCTCGCAGGTCCGGAGACGGCCAAGACGTATGGAAAACTGTCATAGGCTTGACGTGGCCCGCCCACTGCCTCGGACAGGAGGGTTTACACGGATGACGTGGGATCTGGAAATGGATTGGCCGGTGAGTGGGCTGGTGTAAGTTCAAGGAGTATCAGGTTTTTCTTGACTAATCCCAGCTAGTCGCAACCGGGATTCCGTCTTCCCACGCCATCGCCCCTCTCCACAAACAAATTACACGGCTTGAGAAGACCCTCTCTCCCTCACTGAGCTCCACCGAAGTGTAGCCCGGCGGCGAAACTTCAGAGCAATGGTACTACTCCACTTCAGCAAAGCGCTGGCACGCTAGTGAAACAACCCGAGCAGAAGCGATCTGAGCTGCACAGTTCAAACACGCAGCCGGTGACCTAGTCGCGGATGTCATCATCGTCTGACCTGACATCTCACTCTTAAGTGTGGTGCGGCAAAGGGGGAATTCACCTGCTTACGATGTGGCGCCGTGGGCGGCCTTTGCAGGACCACGAAGAGGCGTTTGACAGGTGTGGGAAGCAAAGATATCAGAAGAGGCGGTGAGGGTAGAAAAGAAGAAAGCACACTGTGACAAGTAGTAGGATAGCTCGAGCCAGCTTCAGCGGTAGTGAGTGTGTTGGATGAGCCACGCACAGGAAGTGATTAGGGCTTGGGAGGTGCACGAAGGTAGTGCTACGGAGGATAGAGCCAAACACCGTGCTGTACCTCGTGAAGGAGGCCTTACCCGATGTCTAAGACAATTTACATCTTCGATCCTAAATTAGACATCGAATGAGAAACCTCCTTCGCGGCGGCAGCATCCGCGCACCAGATGTGGTAGGTGGCAGTGTGTATACAAATAACCCTTTATCTCCATGTCCTTGTATGATGTCATGACTTTTGCCCTACTTCAACAACGCCCGCGACAAGCAACTGCCCCTCGGCCAGCACTGTCTGTTCTAAAATCAGATGCGTGTTTTTCTGCTGACCTGCCACAGACTCAAATCTTGTCATTATTATGTAAAACATACAGCATCGCTGGATGATGCCCATCAGCGCGGTAGACGTGGTCCGCTTTGAGTGTCCGGGTTTAGGTTTCAGGCGGTGCATATACGGCGGCGGATGCTGTCAATTCCCCGGACAAAGACGGCGATGGTTGAGATAGAGTTTGCCTTAATAAGCTGTGCATGCAAATCAACACGAGGCTCTGCTCGTAATTGACTCAGTTGTGTCCGGGGAAAAAGGCTCAAGCCCTGGCACGAGACCACACTGCCGTTGCTGGTGAATACATGGAACGGCCACCGGGGGGCAGTGTGTCGTGTGATAATTTTAGTACTGTACATGGTACTCTCGACGCATTTACGCCAAATCCGGGGCTATGCCCTGAGCTTTCTTCCCAACGCGCCATGGGATTTCTCGCTCTCCCGAGCGCAGCCGAGGACTGACTATGAGGGTTTTGTTGATGTAAGGCCGGCGGAGTAACTCCTCTCCCACGGGTCGTGTTGTATAGTTCTATTTTAGGAACATGAGCTGTATACCTGACTTGAACTGCTCGCTGAGCAGAGCTTTTGCAGTCCATATCATGTCTATATAAACCTCTCAGACGTCCCTCTCAACCCAGCATTTATTCTCATCAGCATCAGACAGAGTCACAGAGTTTCAAAGCAGCAGCATTCATACTCTCGCTACCGAGTCATTCTTGATTGCAAAAGATAGACCACCATCACCATGCATTTCCTCTCCGAGTCCACCGTCCTGTTCACCCTCGCTTCCTCCGTCTTCGCCGCGCCGCTCGCTGTCCGCACGCAGAACGAGGTTCAAATCACCTTCCTTGGCGCCGCAGACGCGCAGTTCACCCAGAGCTTCCCCACCGATGGCTCCACCGTCGCTATCTGTAAGCCGAGCCTAGCCTAGAGCCCAGCAAACATAATCCCACCCCAACGATCACTAACCCAAACCCCAGCCAACCCCCTGAGCATCTCGCACATCGCCTCCAGCACCGCAGGCGTCACCTGCACTTTCATCGGCATCGACCACTCCAGCACGACCGTCAGCGGCGTAGCAACCGTGGACGTGGGCCCCCCTCAGACCCAGACCCAGGGCTCATGCACCGCCGCGGGGGATCCCACCACTCCTACCCCGGACCCATCCACCCCGGCCCCGGCCCCCGTTGAGCCCTCCACCCCCAGCACCCCCTCCGGAGGCCAGGGCTCATCCGTCACCATCACTTTCCAAGGCGCCGCGGACGCGCAATTCTCTCAGTCGTTCCCGCTCGACGGCACCTCGACGGCCATCAGTATGTGAATCTTGCTTGCTTTCCCAAGTAGTGCCGACTTCCATGCTAACACCAAGGGGAAAACAGCCAACCCGCTTAGCATCTCGCACATCGTCTCCGGCACGGGTAATGTGCGCTGCACTTTCAACGGCATCGACCACAGCGTCACCACCGTCAGTGGCGTGCAGACGGTTGATGTCGGACCGCCCCAGACTCAGGTGAACGGGGCTTGCACTGCTGCTTAGGGTGGGTTGGTGCAATCGCTTACCTGGGGGGGTGGGGGAGGGTTCCCCATGATATGGGGAGGGCAGAGCGTCTATCGTTTATAGCTTAGCCAAGTGGGAGTCTTTAGGACCGCTGCCGGGTCCCTGGTCATTTTTTGCTTGTCTTTCCTTCCTCTTCTCCTTTTGTCTTATTTTCTATTCCGGTCGAAAGTGGAAAGGTTGTGACACTAGCACTGTCTTAGTCAGGATTATATCAGCGGAGTGCAGGCTTTGCAGCTATAGTACCTAATAATCTCCATTGGACCAGACTAACAAGTATATACTGGTATTTACTTTCCTACGCTAATTTCTTGGAGTGCTCTGTTCACGCCTATACCAAGAGACAGCCAGTCGAGGTGTCAAGAGCCACTCTTGATGCTTGGAGTACTGGCGGGAGTAAACATGATCGAGTTCGAGGGATTTACTTTTCTGAAGGGGCTGCTGTAAGAGGGAGATTAATCTACGTCTCACCGAGGGAAACATACCTAATGGATAAAAATTGGAGAAATTACACATAATCACTGTTACTTATTCTAACCAACGCATATCAATTTGTTGTACTAAGATCACTGACTAGAAGACATTATTTTTCTCGCATCACACCAGAGCCGCACCGGCGAGCAGACCTCACAAGACACCCCTCTCTCACGGACAGAAAGCCTGTCTAGGGCAAGCAATAGAGACCAAGCAGCGCCGCCAATTCATGCACAGCATCATCATCATCATCATCATCATCACCATCAAAAGCAAGAACAACAACATCCGCATCCCGACCATCGTTGTCACCACCATCAACAAAATTGACCACGACCTCCTCGCGCAGCCCCAACCCCCGACGGGCCCAGCCTCTCGCCCCGACCGCGGAATCATACAGCCCCAAGCTGCCCAGCAGAAGGAGGTGCAGCACCGCGAACGTCAGCCCGTACATCTGGCCGACGGCCCAGCCGTTCAGCCCGGGCATGCAAAACAGACACGAAACCAGGCCGAGCACGTCCAGGTAGCGGGCGGCGCGCGCCCGCGTCGTCCGGTGGCTCTGGAAGATGGCCGTGAAGAGGTACTGGTGCCAGACGCCCAGCACGCAGAGGAGGGCGCCCGTCCACTCCAGCTCGGTCAGTTGGTCGGTGAACCGGAAGCGGAAGCGCAGCGGCCACGCCGCCGAGCCGGCCGGGCTGCTGCCCGTCAGGTACGAGGTGAGGTGCAGCAGGTGCAGGATGTACAGGGCGGGCGTCGAGAGCAGGGCGGACTGCGCGAGAGCGCCGGCTGCTGGTAGCACGCGGTGGGTGGTCCAGCGCAGGAGCCCGCCGTGGGCGAGCCATTCTTGCTGGATGTAGGTGCGCCATGCTTCGGCTTCGTGGAGGAAGTTGTCGTCGTCGTGGGGGCCGGTTGCGGGTTCGTTGGGCGGGTCGTCGTTCTCGTCGCTCTTCTGAGCGTCGGGCTGAGTATCGGTGGTTTCGGTCTGATCGGTGGACTCGTCGGGTTGCTCATCGTTGTGGTTGTCGGGCTGAGCATCGGTCTGAGCATCAGGAGCATCGGTTGGCTGATCGATCTGCTCGTCACAGTGGTCCTGGTCATCGGGACCATCATTTGGCTCATCGTTCAAATCGCCATCCTGATTCTCTTCGTGATCATCCTCGTAGTCATCTTCAACCTTCGCCTTGCGATCAACACCGCAATCAGCATCAGGAATAGACGCAGCACCACAGACAAGATCCGGCGCAGCTTCATCAAGGATAGACACGGCGTCACCGGCCATCTGCTCGGAACTGAGAGAAGACATGTTGAGAGCTAGTCTTGAGATGTGGAATGAACAACAAGTTACTTTCAGAAGGTTAGACCAAGATGAAGAACCAGCAAGGATGCAATGACCTGTGTGGGATACTTCTCCACAGTGAGAAGTCCCAAGCTTATATAGTGCAGGAACCCCAGGGCCATCAACTCATCGAGCCCTGCCTTGTTTGTACGTTCTTAAAGGGAAGAGCGGAGATCCTCACTCCCCCTGCCTTTCGCAATCGTATGTCTTAGACTGCACATTCACTTTCCCCCATTTCTTTCTTTGCACTTCTTTTTCCATCTGTAGTTTCAAAGCATCTCTTGCTTGTCCATCAAAGGCTTTGTGCTCGGCTCAAAGCTCTGTCGTTACTCAAAGGGGATTATTTGTCGCTATCAGAGTGGTCCATCATGGATAGAGGTAAGCATTGCATTCTAGCAACCCTAACCACCAACTCCCACCTCACTTAACAGCTTCCCCATTCACACGCTCCTATCCTCTGTGGAAGCTTCTGCTTTGAGGTGGATCAAAGTAAACACGAACACGCCTTCATTCACAATCGCCATCGTCGAAGCCAGACCCTGACCAGTTTCCAGAATGCCGGTTTCTATCTCCCAACGATCGTAACTACCACGCGATGACATCTCAATCTTCGACAATCGACAACCGACAACAGCCCGAACCAGCGCTCCAGCCACACTCACCGTGACATCTGCATATCCAGCGCAGTGTCATCCCCGTGGGGAGAAATACGTTTTCGTTCAAGATATCTTACTAGGTAGGAGACGATGACGACGACTGGGGGGTCTGTCAGGTCCTACGAACGCTTCCCTTGTGTCCTGTGTTTTCTCCGGGGCCGTTGTGGCAGCTACCCTCCCTCTCTCTGTCTTTCTCTGTGTGCTAGGGCGGGGAGGCAGCATGTCCATAGTTCCAAACATGGACCTAAAACACAGCAGTAGGTAACCGCCTGGATAGAGTCATACTCTGCCGCACGCTTACCCTGAACCTGCCTGCCTGCGCCCTTGTCATCATCCAAGTAACCAGACACACAACCACAGCGCTACAACCCTACTCAAGAAACAAGCACAAAGCTCATAACAACAACACTGGATATCTGAATCGAAGCCAACGAAAACCACCGTCTATGTAACTTTTGACCTTCTAATTCTTCGTCTTCCCGAACGAAACACACCAGTTATTCCAATCCGTAAAGAACGACGGCTGCACATGACACTTGCGACTGAGCAGCTGCTTCGTCCTCGTCTCGCCATACACCTCCACGACGCGGGCCACGTTGCCCCGCTCCTGCGCCACCAGCACCTTGACCACCAGCAAGCTCGCCTGGCTGCACGCCGTCGCGTGCGCGGGGGGCCCACTGTGCGTCGCCTCGGTGTGGATGGACTTCAGCAGCTCCCACACATTGTCCACGTCCTCCTCCTGGATAGCAGGCAGCGCCGTCGCGCCCTTGCACTGCTTGGTGTACTCGCGGAGGACGGTGGCGGCGCGCGTCGAGATCTGCTTGTTGGCCGACTTGCGGGTCAGCCGCAGCAGGGGCAGCAGCAGATCGAGGGCCAGCAGCTTGGCGTGGCACTTCTTCACGTAGATCTCCAGCAGGTCCAGCACGCGGTTCTTGAAGTGCACCATGTTGGCGCGGGCGTCCTTCTTGTCCTTCTTCTGGCCGAGGGCGTCACGGCGCGCCCGGAAGACCTTCACGAGCTGCTCGTCGAGTTCCTCCATCTCGTCGTCGTTCATGTCCGCGTCCGAGTCTTCCTCGGCCTCCGGCATGTCCGCGTCCAGCCGGTGCGTGCCCAGCGCCGCGGCCAGTTTGGCTTCGAAGATCGCCTCCTCGTCGTCGTTGCCTTCGTCCTCCGAGACTTCCGAGTCGGAAGAGGATGCCGCAGAGTCACCGGCTTCAACGACCTCGACGTCGCTGTCGAGCTCGTCACCGTCACCGTCACCATCAACATCCATCATGTCCGCGTCGTCCCCGTCCTCGTCCTGCTGGTCGAACATCTCCTGCTGACCCGCCAGACTCTCCTTGGCCTCCAGGATGGAGGTCAGCGACTCCAGGCCATTCTCGGTGATGCTCTCGGCAAAGGCCCCGAAGACCTGCTCGCTCATGCGCCGGAAGAGCTGCGACTGCTTGGACGCGAAGCTGAGCAGGATCTCCACCAGGGCGTCCGAGGCATCGGAGGTCTTTTCGTCGTTCTCCTCGTCCTCCTCGTCCTCCGCCTTCTTGCCCTTGGAATTCTTCTTCTCCTTCTTCTCCTCGCCGAAGATCTGCGTGTAGCAGAAATCCAACTCCTCCAGCATCGACGCCGCGTCCGCGTCGCCGTTGTACACCTGCAGAATCGTCAACGAGTACAGCAGCCGGAACGCGTCGACGCTCGCCGCGTTATCCTTCTTCTCCTGCACCAACCACAAACGATTAGCCAGGCTCGCGCGTTCTTCCTTCACACGGAATTGGAGGAGGAAACCGGGTAGAGAGGAGGAACATACCATACTCGCCAGCTTCTTCAGCGACTTGAACGCATTCTTGACCGCGCCACTGATTGTCTCATCCATACTGACGATGAACTTGCCGCGCTCCTCGGACTTGGCCAGGTCCCGGATCTGGCGCACCACCGCGTAGGGGATGGAGGCGTACCGGGCGGTGGCGATCAGACTGTTGATGCAGGAGTTGATGCGACTGCGGAAGAGCTCCTGGGTCTGCTCGGTGAGCGCGGGGCTGACGGCCGGGTCCTTGAAGTAGGCGAAGCGGACGAAGATGGAGAGGATCTGCTCGAGCACACTGTACGTGTCGTCATCCTTGCTGTCCGCGGACGCGCGCGCACGCACGATGGCCAGAAGCAAGCCGGCCAGGAACTGGCGGCTGGCGGCCGCGGTCTTGCCATCGTTGGGGCCGCAGGGGGCGGCGATCAGCGACTCGAACAGGGGGACGATCTCCTTGAGGGCGTCGACGTTGGCCTCGACGACGATCTTCTCCACGGTCTTGGTCTTAGTGGCCTGGTCGAAGGTGACCGAGCCGCCGGTGGCGGGCCCCATCAGGCCGCGGACGGCGGCGGCGGCGAAGGCGGGCTCCTTGGCCACGCGCGTCTGCAGGGACTTGGCGGCCTTGACGGCCATGCGGTGCAGGTAGCGGTCCTCGACGGCCAGTTGGTTCATGAGGCAGCGCACCAGGTTCTTGGTGAACGTCTGGGCCGCCACGGCTTGCGGACTCTCGGTGACGACCTTGATGAACAGCGAGAACCCCCAGTACTTGCGTTCTTCGGAGGAAGCCGCGGCAAACAAACCATCTAGACGCAGCGTTAGCCTGCCCTCGCCCTCGCCCTCGCGCGCTGCCCAACAACCTCAAGTTCCAAGAAAAAGGGGGGAAAGGAAAGGGAACATACTATCCACAACCTCGGTCCAGAACTCGGCAAACCCGAGCCTCGAAGACTCGCCCTTAGTCTTAGCCTTAGGCACCTGCGCCAACCGGCCCAGAACCACATCCCAGGCGAAGTGCAACTTGGAATTCCAGACACCGGAGGAACCCTTCTTCTGGCCGTCCGCATCCTCACTGGCACTGGAGCTGGCACTCGAATCCGACGAGTCCTTCATCACCTTGCCCAGGGAAACCCTTTCCTTGGCATCCAACGGATCCTCATGCTTCCAAACCTTGGCCGGGAACTTGGCCGAGGGGAAGGCCTCCTTGGCCGCGAGCCAGACGGCGACGCCCTCGGGGGTTCTGGCCAGGTCGTGGGCGCACAGCCGCTCGAGCGCGACCTCCACCAACGCCACATTCACCTGCTCCTTCTTCCCCTCGCTCTTTCGAGAGGTAGCAAGATCCAGAACACAACGATACACAATCCAACCGCACTCCTCGCGCAGCCACGGCTTCTTCTTCGCCAGCTCGAACACGCGGTCCAGCAGCCGGGTCCACTCCGCGGGCGCAGCAGCAGCGCCAGCCCCGTCCCCAAAAAGGATGCCGGATTTAATGATGGCCTCCGCGCCAAACAGACGCCCGAAGTAGTGATCGCGTTGTTCCTGACCGTTCGTTAGCATGCGCCTTTACCAGTCAACAAACCCCCCCCCATCCAAAAATTTCAAAAAAAAAAAAAAAGGAAGGAAGAAACAAACCTGCCCCGACTCCCCGCCCGCCGAATCTGTCAACCGCTCCCAAACCCCCAACACCGCCCCGACATCCTTCTTCCCCTGTTGCCCGGAGGCGGCAGTCCCAAAAACCTGCACCAACACCTCCGTCAACGCGATCGAGAACCCCACGCGCGCCGCCTTGCGACTACTGCACAGACCGCGGAACAACCGCGCCAGGGCGCGGTCCACCGCCTCGGCGGGGGGGTTCTGGTCCGGGGTGAACTGCGCGACCAGGGCGGCGGCGGCCTTCAGGCGGACGGCGTCGGTCTCGGCGGCCAGGTCCTCGTAGATCTCGATCTGCTTGCGGTCGACGCTGACGGGCTCGCGGCGCCGTTTTTTGGTCGGCGGCGGACCGGCTGGTCTCGTTGCCATGCCTTTTTTTTTACGGGGGTGTGTACTGGTTGGTGTGTATGGGTGTATGGGTGTACTGTTCGGCTTTCAAGAAAATATTACAATGGTTTCCAGTAGGTGGTGAGAATGGAAGTTTAGAAAGGGGTTTGCTGTGGGGAGAATTTTATACAGCCACCAAACTTTCACAAGAGGTGGTTCGTAGGTTGTTGTTGCAGCTTTTTTGCCGGGAAAATTTGATTGATATGGATGGCCGGCCGCTCTTCGTCCTGAATCGGGTTAGTGTGATCTTCGCTGCTGCAAGAGACTGAGACTAACGCAATGCGGGAAGCCTGGAGGTGGCCTCAGGCTGCTAACTTATCCACTGGCACTACGCACTACGCACTACTATGCATCTGATTCTCCTGAGCAGCAGCATCCACTCTACTACCAAGTACTTCGAATCAATTACATTTCTACAATCAATACATCATGATAGATAAAGATGATTTTATTCTTCCTATCAATACCCGGGACCTGCCCTCTCACCCCACCAAACACTACCACCACTACCACTACCACTACTTCAATCCAAATCCCTCACTGTTCAGCACCGCATCCCAAAGCACCCGTTCCAGCTTCTCCCGCGTCTCGTACCGATACAACCCCAACTGGTTGAAGCAGGTCCGCGCCGTCGGAAACCGGCACGTGTCATCCCCTAAACACCCCAGCCGGATACTCAGACTCGTCGCCCCCATCGCCGGAATCCGATCACTGCCCGTGATAAACGACAGAATCTTCCGCTGCGACTGTGGCGCCGCCTGCCCGAAGATCTCCCAGAACCACCGCACCACAGGCACCGTTTCCGGCCGCGGCACTGACCAGTTCTCGTACGTCGCCACCGCCCGGAGCGAGGCCACGTCCAGCGGCTCATCCGAGCCTCGCACCAGCAGCTCGATCTCCTCCGGCCGGAACAGGGACAGCGCGTTGCCGCCGCACACCGTGAAGAACCCCCGCTTGAAGGGCTCAAACTGCCGCGTCACCGCCGTGTCCAGCAGGTGTTGCACGTACAGATCCACAAACTCCCGCCGGTTGGCATTCGTCACGGGTCGGTCCTCGCCGCCGGCACACAGAGGCACCGGCACCACCTCCCCATACCGGTCGACCTGCGCGACGAAGTCGTAGCAGAAGGTCTCCGCGACGTCCCCTTCGAATTCCAACAAGGCCCGGAGCCCTTTCGCGAGCTGAGGTCGAAACTCCGCCAAGTCGTCCAGGCTAGCTTTGTACACCGATCGGCTGGTCGACCACTGCGGGGCCGCCGCCAGAAGCTTCTTGAAGGCGAACGGTGGGAGAGCAATGTCGAGAATGGTCGAGTTGTAGATAGCCAATCCCAGCAGAACCCCGACTAAGAAGAACTGTTCCGACGACTCGAAGCAGTACGGGTTGAAGTAGCAGTATCGTGAGTCCTCGTCATAAATGAACAACCCTGCGGCGTTCAAGTTAGTCCTTGTTCACCTTGAGAACTCAAAAGGCTGAACCTACCATGGTGGGGATCGAAGACTTCCCGGACGAGCAGCAAGAACCACTCTTTCCGCAGACCACCCGCGTCCACTCCCTCTTCACCGACAAACTCAATCCGCAGCCCCTTCTTGATCTCCTCGTGGCTGGATCCAACGACCTCACTGACTCTTCGAAGGCTGTCCTCCACCAGACAGTCGCGCCGCACCTTCAGCACAAAATACTGACTGATCGCCTTCCGGCTGAGGATGCTATTGAAGAACGCCTCCCGCGCCTTGACCTCCATCTGACGACGAGCATCATGCTCCAAGATATGGATCTTGGCCCAGATGCTCAGGAAGAAAGGATACTGGCAGAACGAGAACTTGCTCGACTTGGACTCCCAGGCCTCAAAGTCCGCCACAAGATCGGAATAATCCAGCAGCGTGTTGTAGAAGGAGCTGATCGGTACCATATGGCCCCGTCGGTCACTCGGCGATCGACCAGCGCTAGTGGTCCCCGGTCCATCCGGCTTGCGAGACACCGTGGCATTGTTGGCCGTAAACAGCAGCGACATCACCCGTGCAGCAGCCCGAATCTGCCAGTCATCAGTATAGACCACGGGCTGGTCCCGGTCGTCCTTGGCCGACTTGTTCGGACTCCTGCCGTTGATGGCGGCATGCAATTCGGCGGGTGTGTTTCCCGCCGCGCTGGAGAAGCTGGGTATCAGACTATCTTCCGGTTGCGCGGTCTCGCTGCGTTTCCGCCCATGCTGCCGAGTCAGACGATACGTCACAAAACTACCCACAATATCCACAATTTTCTCAAATTGTCCCGTGGGGAAGCGTGAGAACCAGGAAACCAAGTAATGGTGACAGTCGTTCGGCAGATTGGCAAGCAGACCCATAATTCGTTTGACGATGCCGGGGTGATGCCCGGGCCCACCGCTTCGCAGTCGAGTGGGAGGTTTGATATCTCGAGGAGCGGGTCTTGGATTACCGATAACGGGATGGGAAGGCCTCCTATCACCCCGAGGAGCAGAGGGGGCTAATGTGTACGAAGCCAGGGACGAGTTCGAGGGATGCACCAATGGATTCACCAAGAGTATCAGGAGAAATCTAATGTCTTCTGGCTTTTTGAGTGGTCGTCGGGGCCGTTTGAGGAGATTTTCCGTCGCCTTGAGCAGTGTCCGATGCAGGTGCAAGCGCGACTCGACCACCTCCTTCTCAACCATAGCCAAATCAGTGGATTCCCACCTCTGAGCAGCCACAATGTCACCATCCGTACGTAGTTCAGCTGGCTTCATCGTGGACCACAATTCCACCCATGAAGAGCCGGCAGTCATGATCAAGTGGTACCATTTCGCAAGCTCCGCCCAGTCTATACGGGGGCTCCGAGAGGAGACGGCTCTAGAACCAGAGGATTTCTCCCGATGGTCTTTGGCATGGGACTGAACGGTAGGATCCACCTCGTTCATCCACCAGGACGAGTTTTCTGCTATGTCGCCCAGGAGGAGGAGCTTAGCATCCGGCTCAAATACATGTTCCGCGGGCGCGGGCGCCGCGCTAGTACTCTTGTCCTCTCTCTGCTTGGGGGGAGTGCTATTATTGGTGGAGCGAGGCGCGTGCTGTACTGTGGTGAATGAGCTGTTCAAGCAATCACAGCCCTTGAATGAATTTATTATGTAGTCTTCCAGCAGCCTAAAGATATACGGGCGGCGCGGCAGTTCCTTTGCATCCGACGTGTTTCCCTGGCCAACCTCTCGAGGCGAGCGATCTCGCCGCGGCATAGTTTGCGTGTCTCGACTCTTCATTGGCGAGCTCTTCCCTTCTCCGTGGGATGAGTACGGGCTCAGATTAGGCTTCGAGAAGTTTGGCGGGCCATCCAGCTTGCCTGGCTTTTTGGAATTCGAGTAAGCTCGCCCGCGCGAGTCGCCGGTCGCACGAGGATCACACAAGTATTCGCCGGTCTGGCCGGGCGAATGGGCCAGATTCTCATCCTGCGCGATATCCTGGGGCTTCTCCGGCTGACTCCTAGTTGGGGTCGCTCGCGGTCCGGTTCCGTATAGAAGTTGCCGAAGGTACTCGGTCATGCAGTCGTCCAGCAACGCCTTCGTCCGGTCGAGAGACAGTGGTACCGCTACAAGGAAACACCAGTCAGCCGATCGACATCAATCACAAGCCGGAACCCTGTCACCAAACATACCTTTTCGTAAAACCATGGGGGTGCGGGGCTTCCCATCGGCGCCCGAATTACCATGAGCCCCGGGTTTGGCCGCATCCACGTACGGCTCCAAATCGTTGACCGTCAAGCATTCCGTGCACCGAAACACCTTCAGATCGCGGGGCCACCGCACGGTGCAGTTGCAGGCCATGCACTTCCCCGAGGCCATCACGCCGTGTTGCGGGGGCCGGTTGCGCGGGGACGAGGAGCTCGGGTCGGGCATGTAGCCGAGGAAGTCGTCATCGTCCGAATCCAGCCCCGGTCGACCGTTCTTCTTCTTCGCGATCGAGGGACGCCGTTTGCCCACAGCGGCGGCGGCGGCGAACGGCGCGGGGAAAGGGTGGCTGATGGAACGGGAGTGCCCGCGCCGGGTTGGGGGTGAAGTAGCTGTAAGTCCCGTCATGGCGAACAGGTCGGGCGCATCTTGGACGATCTCGGCAGGTGTGCTCCTCTCGTCATTCGCAGGAAAGGGGACCAGGGAAGGATGGGGATGGCCAGCGGCTGGAGTGAGTGACGGGTTACGTAGGAACCGCGACGGCATAGGGGCGCATTGGTTTTTAGGGGGCGGTGATCCGTAACGATCTGGAGATGGCGGGATACCACGGCGTTGGAGGTTGAAGCAGGTGAGATTTAGGGGATCTTATCGTCGGAGGATTGACAGCAGTAGGATTTTAGGGGATGAACGGCGGAGCGAGTGACTCGTGCACAAGCGAGACGGCAACGAGGGACGATCCTGCCGCAAGGCCGTTCTTTAATCTAGGATCAACCGGGGTAATTTTGCCGAAGGCACGAAGAGGCAAGTAAGGACTAAGAAAAATCCACAAGAAACCAAAGAAAACCCGGTTAGTTAGTTATCCCAAGTTGGCGGGGATGAGGTAAGACTGAGCGAGAGGAAGCCTGAACCGGTTGTAGTTATGGAGAAGTAGGATATATGTAACGTGAGGGGGGGGGGGAAGATGTAACGTGAGCATGTACAGTACAAGTAGTTACAAGGAAAGGGACAAAACAGAACCACAACACCACCAGGCGAACACAACCGGTGTGATGAGTTGATGGTAGGGGGAGGAAAGGGAAGGACAAGAAAAAGGAGTTATCACGAGATATGCTTTTGATTGTGAGAAAGGAGAGGGAGGGAGGGAGGCGGCGGTGGGGGGGGGGGGGGGGGAAGTCGCAAGAGGATGCGCAAGCCATAATAACTTAACTTAACCACAGTCACCAGTCACCAGTCACTCAAGACGTGGGTTGCCTAAGGCT